ACAGAAAGATGCCCAGGCTAAACCAGGTAGAAGTAGGGTCCAGTCCCTCTGCTCCCTAGCCCAGCCTGTACCGGAGGGCATCAGCAAAAAGCTGTGGTCTTTAATTTCGGCAATGCATCAGGATGAGGTCACGGGTGTTGTCAAAGCAGAAAAGGGGATTCTGAGACTCGGAGAGCACCTGTACTTAAAACACGGGCATGATAAGACAAAGCATGATTACATTAGGCAGAAAATGAGAGAAGTCGGTAGGTTAATTAACGAAGCAAAAACCGCAGGGAAACTGAAAACAATTAAGGATTTCTTTATTCCTTCCAACTTTAACCATGTGATTGATGCAGTCAGGTCTGTGGCTGGATATGATGAGGAAACAAATCAATACAAGACTCCATCCTTGGCCCTCAAACTCGGCCATAGCCTCAGAAAGCTAGCAGATATTCTTGAATGTGACTCAAAAATGGAGCATTGTGTTGATGAACTATTTATTAAAAACTTCCAACGAAGCCGGCTGCTTTTTGAGAAGAGGTGGGACGTCTGTGTTTCTTCTGCTGCCCTACAGACCCTCCGGCAAGCCAAGTGGAACACTCCGGACCTGCTCCCTCTGACTGAGGACGTTAGAGCCATGCATGCACATATTGAGGTATGTCGACCTGAATATGTGCAAACCCTAATAAGTGAGCCAACGTCTAAGCATTGGTCTAAACTGGCAGTTTTGACTCTTTGTGAGGTCATCATTTTCAATCGAAGAAGGGAAGGTGAGGTTTCAAAGATGCCACTGACAGCCTTTACCTTAAGAAGTAAGACTGGGATCCATTCTGACATTGCTCTGGGACTGTCCCAACTTGAGAAAAAGCTGTGTCAGCATTTTCAACGCTTGAAATTAAAGGGAAAAGAAGTCGGAAAGTGCCGGTTCTTTTGACTCCTGAAATGATTGCTTCGATGGAGGTGCTGGTGGAGAACAGAAGGGCCTGTTCCATCTCTGACCATAACCCATACTTCTTTTTCCCGCCCGGGCGCAGACACCCACATCAGGGGATCAGACTCCCTACGCCAGGTAGCCAAAGAATGTGGTGCGGTGCATCCAGAGATGCTATCCTCAACCAAACTTAGAAAGCACATAGCTACTATGTCTACAGTTCTCAATATGAAAGAGAATGAGATGGACATACTTGCCAACTTCCTCGGCCATGACATTCGCATCCACAGGCAATATTACAGACTACCAGAGGGGACACTGGAGCTGGCCAAAATCAGCAAAGTGTTGATGGCCATGGAGCAGGGAAGAGTGACGGAATTCGAAGGAAAGAGCCTCGACCAGATACAAATTGAGCCTGAAGGTAATTCTTGATATTATTAAAATATGTATGATTTTTTTCCCCTAAAGGCCACTTGTATTTTTTATTTTCTGTGCGACAGGGAGAGCAGTAGAGATCCTCTCACAAACGGACGGGCTAAAAGAAACTTCAAGCGGAGAACCTTCAACCATTCATCCAGATGCACCCCATGGTAGTGGCAGTGCCCCTTCTGGTAAGTGTACCAGGTGGGGGATTACAGCCAGGCTGCTTGGTCCTCACCCTGGGAGTGTATATTGCTAATATATTTTTATTTCTCTCCCTAGAACGTGTAAGAAAGCCATGGTCTGCATCTGAGGTGAAGGCTGTGGAGAAGACCATGACACCTTTCATACAGACTGGAAAGGTCCCTGGGAAGTCTCACTGCCTGGCCTGCATTAATGCCTCACCAGATGACCTTAGACATCGGACATGGAGTGGCATTAAATTCTATGTCAAAAATAGAATCACTGCAATTCGAAAAACAAAATCTAAAATAAAATTCCTTTAAAATAGTTGTTTGGTTTCTATTGACTGTTTTGTATTACTTAAAGTCTTGGTAAAAAAAGATTATGTCTATGGGTCCCATTCTGAACGGCCCTGTCAAAGGGACCCACCAGGTAACAAAAACGTGTGTGTGTGTGTGTGTGTGTGTGTGTGTGTGTGTGTGTGTGTGTGTGTGTGTGTGTGTGTGTGTGTGTGTGTGTGTGTGTGTGTGTGTGTGTGTGTGTGTGTGTGTGTGTGTGTGTGAATGCAGTCAGTGATGCATTCAATATGGGACGCACATAGTTTTTCTATAGTACGGGACAATTCCGTATTTCAAAGGACGGTTGGCAACCCTATGTTTGGTATTTCTTTAAGTTGGCGTCGGATGTCATTAAAGGCAGCTCAAGCTTTGGCAATTTTTGTGGTAAAGTCCGGAAAAATGGATATCACAGCGTCTTTAATCCTATTCCGCTGTTGAGCTATGGCACGTTGTAAAATGTCAATGCAGTCCCCATGGTAGTGGATGCGAGCCACAATAGGACGGGGGCGTTCTCCAGGTTTGGGTTTGGGCTGAACCGACCTGTGTGCGCGGTCCACCAGCGGGGATTCCTCCAGGCCGAGAGCAGTCTTCAAGAGGGTAGAGATAGTGGTCGCGGTGACAGGCCCTTCCTCCTCAGGCAGCCCCAGAATCCTGATATTGTTGCGGCGTGACCTCGCCTCCAAGTCTTCACATGTTTTCAAGCGCAAAAATCTGTGTTGATAAGCTTGTGACTTTGGTTTGAAGCGAGACAATGTCACCCATACACACAGTCAATGTTCCCTCCATGTCACGCACAGTGCTCTTTTGCTTGCTCGCTAATCTCCATCTTTATAGCCGCTATGCTACCACTTAGCTCCGTTTTAACAGCGTGGAGCTCAGTCTTTATTTGGGACACATTTTCAGTCATGGCTTCCGCTAGTTCAGCCTTAAAAATCCCTTCCATCTCCTCCCGAAGGCTAGCGAGCAGGTCGGCTTTGAAGTCCGCGGGGGTCATAGCGTGGCCTTGTGCCTCGGTAGCGGGCGACGACGGAGCCACGTCTAAGTCACTCAAAGCTGGGGATGTAGCTGCGGTAACAGGCCGTGATTCCGCTCCCGCTTACATCCTTTCATTTCTGGGTTTTCTCGGCATGATAGTGGTCTGACAAATAATAAACTTAAGATAGCTATATTTATTGCAGAAAAATCTAAAAAGTGCCCTGATATAATTTTAATGTCAAGTCCACGGGAGCCTCCCCGAGACACGACCTACTCCATCAAACTCTCGTCGCCTGCTGGGATAATTCTGTGGCTTTGAGAGAGCGTCATCTGTCATCTACAGTCTCTCTCCCGAAAACCTTCAAACCAGGTCAGAAATCTAGGGGTAATACTGGACTCAGACTTAAATTTTAATAGCCACATCAAATCAGTAACATCAGCAGCTTTTTATCACCTTAAAAACATATCGTCTAACGGAGACTTGGAGATTCTTATCCATGCATTTGTCTCCAGTAGGTTAGACTACTGCAATGGCCTGCTCACAGGTCTCTCCAAACAGGCTGTAAAACAGCTGCAGTACATTCAAAATGCAGCAGCTCGAGTCCTGACTAGAACCAGGAAGTACGACCATATTAGTCCGGTCCTCAGGTCTCTGCACTGGCTTCCTGTGGCTCAGAGAATAGACTTTAAAACAGCTCTGCTTGTGTACAAGTCTCTCCATGGCCTCGCACCAAAATATATTAGTGACATGTTAGTCCCATATGAACCGGCCCGGACTCTGAGGAGCACAGGGACTGGACTCCTGTTAGTGCCCAGAGTCAGAACTAAACATGGGGAGGCTGCTTTTCAGATTCATGCTGCTAAAATCTGGAACAGTCTTCCTGAAGATGTGAGACAGGCCTCCTCTCTGACAATGTTTAAAACCAGGTTAAAAACAGTTCTGTTTAGCTGTGCATACAACTGAGGGATTTTATATTTTTATCTTTCCTTTTAATGTACTGTGATTATTTATGATTTTAATGCTATTTTGTTCAGCACTTTGAGTTGCCTTGTGTATGAATTGAGCAATACAAATAAACTTGCCTTGCCTTGCCTAGGTTCAGCTGTCTAGCTATACAATTATCTTAGTGTGTAAACAAGGTTGGAATGAGAATTTCTGATGTGTAAACTATTGCTTTAAGCCAGCAATGACAACTGTCTGATTTCTTTTGTGTGGGCCAAGCCTGACTCCAAACCCCCCTTTCTGTCCCCTCCAGGCAACGGCCTTTTTAGAGAGAATTTTCAAATGTTCATGTGGGCGGAGTGAGGCCGGGCACATGTGTTTAGTTTACCTTTAATATCTCTTCCAATCACCCTGGAAAAGCCATGTTCCAGCTTCTTCCCTCTGGCAGAAGATATCATTCGCTGAGATGCAGAACATCTTGATATGCTACCAACTTTAATGATCTTGCCTTTGTATGAAACGGTTTTTGTTGATCGATTTCACAGTGTAACTTGTTTCCTGTTTTGTTTGTTTTATTTCTGTACGTTTTATTTATGTACTGGTCTTGTGCGTACTGGGGACTTTTGTGGATGTATTCTGTATTCTGATTTTACTGCAAAAGCCAAATAAATAAATCTGAATCTGAATCCTCGATGGAAGGGAAATCGCTAAGGTAGCGCACCACAAAATACAAATTTTTCCATTAGCCCAGTCAATAGTCGGATTTTGTTTTTAAGCCACGGACATTAATTACGCCAAAGACCAATCCATGATGATAATTTGTAAATTCATGAACGCAAGTGTTAAGCAGGAATATCTAAGACTGTAAATGCTTAACACATTTAGTATAAGAACCTACATATTTGCTTCTGTATTTCTCATTTCACAGCAGAGGTTTCTTTCCAATGAACGACCAAATAAATTCCAGGTACACATTTTTGTATGATTGTCGTTGCTGTACGGGCGTGTCTTCAGCGTCACCGCCTGCCTCATCAGAAGATAACGTAGATATCCCAGTTTCCAAGATTGCATGAAAGCAGCAAGTCTATCGGTGAATATGAACTCAAATCAGAGATCCTCATGGTGAACAACATAAAAAAGAACCCTGTGATTAAGTCCATATCACTAGTTTCTGGCTCAAAAACACACCCCTTCTCTTCTCAAGCAAGACTATCCTGGTCAAATTTAGGTTGAAGCAAGTGTGCTGTGCTCCAAAGAGAGGTGAAAACCTGACCCCGGAGCTGGACTCCCCTCACGGTAACAAGGAGCTACCGTTTAAGATGGATCGGTTGGCAGAGGACAGGAGGTCAGCTGAGGCCCAGGACCTCAGCATTCCCCCAGTGAACATCCACAGCCTGCTGCTGGACTTCCATGTCCTTCCTTGATGTCTCCGCTGTGAAGGGGCTCGGAGCTGTACGGTTTCAATACTTTTATTGAATAAAATCTTTGGTGTCCCACCAATGGGTGATTCAGTGTGCTCCATTTCCAGTGATGTTCATAAATACAGGAGACACATGCAGAATATGAATCTTAAAAGTAAAACAAGGTGGATAAAGAACTGGTGTGTTGAAAAGCTATTTTCTTACTCCACAGATGATCAAATAATTTCTTTGCATAAACGTGAGAGTCTACATCATTGCCTGTGATGGCGAGAATGATTTAAATATTTCATTGTTCCTCTTTGCGCCTCCGTGAAAATCTTCTAAATCTGCATACTTTACTTGTAAAAGCTAGAAAACTACTCTGAGTGTGACGTCATCTGCTGAAAAGAACATACTTTCATGTGATCTCAGAAATTCAGATGTACAAATTATTCAGACTTCCCAAAATCAGAGCGTTCATGAGGCAACCAGGGGCACTGGTGACACACGCAATACCAAAATGTGCAAAAATCCAAATACTTCATTCATTAGAAAGGCACCAAAACTTACAACTTTCTCATTTCTGCATGAATTCTAATCTGAAATTGGTCTTTGTTGGTTTTGCTGATCAAAATAAACATAATTAAGTGATGTGATATAAAAACCTGTATTTTTGTGCAATTATTTGTCATTAGCATACATGCTTGAGAGATTTCAAAGATACAAATTTTTTGAGGATGAATTCCAGAGCAACACCAGCCACTTTACTCTTAATTTTACAAGTAGCTTTTACATCAATACGGGAAACCACAAATATTAGAATGTACAGTAGATATATTGTGTGATTCTGTGTTCAGGAAAGGATTTACAGCTTCTTATGACGGAAATTTCAACAGAAATAAACAAGTTAAAACAATGGTTCGATAATAACAAACTGTCAATGAATATTAGGAAAACAAAAATGATGATTTTTGGGAAACGAATCAAAGACACTGAAGTAAAACTTAAAATCAACAATATGGAAATAGAGAGAGTTCACGAATGTAAATTTCTGGGTGTGATTTTAAGTCATAATGTAAGCTGGAAACCCCATATAACAAGCATACAATCAAAAATGGCAAAGAGTATATCGGTAATGTACAGAGCTAGACATCTGCTAAAATATAGAGCCTTACATATTATATATAGTTCTTTAATTCTCCCATATATCAGCTACTGTGCGGAGGTGTGGGGTAACACTTATAAAACTCATTTAGATCCACTTTTAAAACTTCAGAAAAAAGCCATAAGAATCGTTCATAACGTTGGTTTTAGGGACCATACAAATAAGTTGTTCTTAGCATCTCGTATAATGAAAATTGAAGACTTAATTAAATTTAAAACTCTTGTTGTATTATACAAAGCAAGTCGTGACCTTCTCCCTAGGAACACTCAGAAATTGTTCAGCAGTAGAGAAGGAACTTATAATTTAAGAGGAGAATTTGTGATGAGGAAACATTGTGTTCACACCACCCTCAAAAGTATGTGTATCTCCCAAGCAGGAATAACATTGTGGAATGACCTAAATAAAGACACAAAACAGAGCAAAACACTAGTACACTTTAAAAAAACATGTAAAGACATTATCTTTAAAAATTATGCTAGTGAAGTATCATAATTACTATTATTTTCACAGACAGGCACACAGTCGCGCTTTTTGTTGTTGTTATGGGGTTTGCCCGTATATGAGGATTGAGGTATTGTAGAGAGGGATGGAAAAAAAGAATTAAAAAAAAAAAAAAAAAAAAAAAAAATTATTAAAAACCGAACGTTTACACATGCATAAGTTCAATGCATTGAGTTTGTAAAAAATGTGTCGATTTCAGTCAGATGAAGTGATGTTGCAATATAATTGCTATACATATTAAATACCATATGGTGTATTTATTTTTGTAAAACTGTAAATGATAAATCCTTTATTTATTTTGTACGACTGTAAATGAAAAATCCTTTGTGATTTTTGTGTTACTTGAATGAGAGATAAGGGGTAGGTTTATTATAAGTTCTTTGAACTTCTTCCTACTCCTTTTGAGCACAATAGTCTTGTTTTGTTTTATTCTGTAAAATGTTTTAAATAAGTTTCTGCTCAAATAAATAAATGAAAAGAAATATATCTGTATGAACATGTAAAATGAAATGAGAAGACTCTGGGCTAGGCAGACGATGGAGTAACACGTGTCTCCATACGCTCCTGCGCTAATTGATATTATCCAATAGTTTTGGCACAATTTATTCATCCCCGGCATTTGGACTTCATACAGTATATACTTTGTTAAGGTATATGCCTTTTGATTTTTGTTGACAAAAATGTCGGACAAAGGAAGGAAAACGAAGGCGCACCAAAGAGGGCCTGCGGATGCTACATCCCCATGCCACAGTGAATCTTCTGGGCCGTCTGAAGTTGCCGAAGAGTTAGCCACAGGTGACGCTACTAATTTGAAAATCGAGCACCTGGATGCTTTTCGTGAGGAGATGATAATGTTGTTTAAAGCAGAATTACAAGAGGCATTTGGAATACACCTGGTATCTGTCAAAAACGAGCTGCTTGTGCTAAAAAGTGAACTTTCCGCTAGCATTAGCACTGTGAAGCAAGAGGTCTCGGAGCTAACTGTTGGTGATATGGAGCACTCCCTCTTGGCATGCACGGACGACATCGTGTCCCTCCGCACCAAGGTGGACAATATGTCTAAAGATCTAATCAGATTAGACAATAAATGTGAAGATTTGGAGTCTAGATCACGTCGTAACTCAGAGACATTGAGGGAATTCGTTTTGGAATTCTTCACCCAGCCAAGCTACGCATCACACACGACGGGAAACAACGCGACTTTATTTCCCCTGAGGAAGCAAAGTTTGTAAAGACTTTAACTGGATAGATACATTTTGATTATAATGGCTTATTTCAGTTAGAAGTTTCCTTGCAGGGTAAGTTCTGTTTCGTAGTTCGAATTTGAAAGCACAGGGGTTAAACATTCCTTTGCAGTCGTTGAAGCATGCCGTTTTGAATCACTACTGGTTTTTGTGTTTGTGCCTTTACGTTTTACATTTTATTTTGCAGGAGTTATGGCTTGCTGTTATATTCGAGTGGGTCTAGTTTAGTCGAGAGGGTTTTTTCTTTTTCCATTGTTCCGTAAGGAACTTGCACTGCTGTCTCTGTCGTTTGGGGGTGGGGACAAGTGATGTGCTGGGGGGGGGGGGGTTCTTCTGTTCTGCTGTTTTGATAAACTGCATTCTATCAAAGATTTTGTGGTAAAGATTGATGGTATTACATTTCTGACCCGGAACGTTTAACAGCCCCATTAAACGTTCTAAAATCATGACACATCTGAAACGTCTCAAAGGTGATGTTATATTCCTACAGGAAACTCACTTACAAAATAAGGATCATGTTAGGCTCAATAGTCCATGGGTGGGACATGTCTTCCATTCTTCTTTTGATACCAAAGCCAGAGGAGTAGCTATTTTAATAAACAAAAGAATACAATTTACTCTGTCTACTTTAATAGCAGACAAAAATGGGCGATATCTAATGATTGTCGGTGCTGTGTGCAACTATCCTATTGTATTAGTTAATGTTTACCCTCCTAATTTCGATGATCCTGGATTTATGTGTGGTGTGCTGGTTTACTGTTGCCTGTTTTTGTGTCCCACTTTGCCTGCTCCTCCCCGTCTGGTCCAGGTCGCGCGCTGCGCACTGGTGTCTCCTTGCCTGGCCTGCCAGACACTCCTCCTTTCTGTTCAAAAGAAGAACCGTCTGGACACCTCTTCCTAGCCTATCATTTCACGATTTTACCCACATCGGTCCAATCAGGCACCGAGAGGCGGGACTTCCTTTCACCTTTGAGTTGCTAATAACTCCTCGTATCTTTAAGTTTTTGTTACAAAATCGACAGCAGTCGTTTACATTTGCACTAGCTGACATGCCGCCATCCCTTGTTTTGTGTTTACTGAAACGGCTTGGGTGCCGCTAGTTGCTGCGTCATATCCTGTGTGCATCTAATTGGTTGATGCAGTCTGTCAACCACGCCCACCGGGAATTCGCTGAGATCAAGCTCGTTCCCAGACTATATGTCTTTGAAAAAGCATATCGTTTGGCAGGCCAGGCAAGGTGTGTCCCTTCAGACGGCGAGCAGAGACGCGGACCCGTGCGCACACTCTTTGCCCTGGGTTTTGCCTGTCAGGCGGACATTTCAAGCAATTTAACTCGTTTAAACCTTTTATTTCTACATTAGCGCTTTTTAATGTGAAAGCATCTTAACTGTATTAAAAATTGATTGTTAATTAAATATATCTTGTGAATAAAACTGTGAATTAACTGGAACCGGTTGCCTTGTATTTCAATACATTTACTTGTGTGCCTTCAATCTACACTACACTATTTCCCCAGGAAGTTTGGGGTGGCGTCGCTACAACCTCTCTAAAATCTTATTTGTATTATTTATCCGATCTGTTAACCCCTCGGTTGCCACATATGCATAAACTATTTAGTGCCATCCCTTCCATGAACACCCACCGGCTAATATTAGCTGGTGATTTCAATTGTATTATCAACCCTATTTTGGACCGCTCAAATCCCAAAAATATTACCCAATCCTCCATGTCTAAAACTATTTCAGATTTGATCTCACAGAATGCTTTGGTGGATCCGTGGAGGTCCCACTATCCAAACACAAAAGCATACTCTTTCTTTTCTAAAGTACACCAGTCCTTTTCACGCATTGATTATTTTTTTATAGACAGTTCTCTCCTTTCTCGGACAACTTTACCTAAATACCACCCAATAGTAATTTCTGATCATGCCCCACTCAGTATGAATATAAAATTGCCAAACCAACTGCTTTTTTCCTCACCCTGGAGGTTTAATTCTTCATTATTGTTAGACGAAAAATGTTCTGTGTTTATAAGATCCCAAATTGATGAATATATTGCCCTTAACAAAAATGACTTAATCTCTTATTCTCTTCTATGTGAATCTTTGAAAGCAT